AGCGGACTGGTCGAAGGGAGATATTTGGTAGGAGGCGGTCTTGCAAATACCTAGGTCCATTGCCATGGAGCGCTTTAAAAGTTGTTACTAACACCTTGAAGCGCACCCGGAAGGCCACCGGCAGCCAGTGCAGCTCGCGCAGGAGAGGTGTTACATGGGAGCATCTAGAGGCCCCCAAAATCCCCCGCGCAGCCGCATTGTGAACTAGCTGGAGCCTCCAGGTGCACCTCAAGGGGAGCCCCATGTAGAGAGCATTGCAATAGTCCAGGCGGGAAACAACGAGGGCTTGAGTGACCGTGCGTAGGGCGTCCTGATCCAGAAAGGGGCGCAACTGGCGTATCAGGCGAGCCTGATGAAAAGCCCCCCTGGCCCCCCTGGCCAAATGACCTCAAAAAGGCGGCAAAGAGTACAGACAATTCTGTATTTAGAATTTTCACCTTTTCCATTTTCACTTTGTTGTAATTGTGGTATACTGATTATGTTCCTTTCTGTGGGTTGTTGTTTTTTTTTTTGCATCTAAACACCTTCCTAATTTCTGAATATACTGGTGTGCTATTCTTGATGGCAGACCTGTTCTGTTGTACGTAAAATGCACAACAAGCATTTTGAGGTGTGTGTTGTATCTCTGTGATATATGCAAGTGTTGAAAACATGCTTTTGGCCTCCCTATTCCAAGATGTTTCCTGTCTTTCACAGTATTTCTTACAGTAACAAAGTTTTTATGCATGTGTATGTGCTCAGGCATATACAGGTAGTGCTCAACTTACAACCCCAATTGGGGACTGGAATTTCTGTCGCTAAGTGATGAAGTTGTTAAATGAGTCGTGCTGACTTTATGACCTCTTTTTGACATGGCTGTCAGGCAAATCATACTGCGCTGAAGCAAATCTGGCTTTCCCCATTGACTTTGCTTGTCAGAAGCCCCAAGGAAGGTTGCAAATGGCAATCAGGTGACCTCGAGATGCTGCAACCATGGTAAATATATGCCAGTTTCCGAAGTGCTGGAATCACAATTCCATGTCCATGAGGACATTTGCAATGGTCATAAATGCATCAACCGGTCATTAGTCACTTATTAAATGCTGTCGTAACTTTGAATGGTTGTTAAGCAAATGGTTGTAAGTCAAGGACTGTCTGTATAATGAAAAGGGAATGAAAAAAATTGACTTCATAGCTTAATTTGATTTGGAGGGGGCAGGAGCCAGTTTGGGGAAGGAAAGAAGTCTAACCTCTAGCAAGACTTAGCATAAAGTCTCATGAGAAAGTAAACAGTTTATTACATCTGTACATTTAAATGTCAAGTGACTGTTTTTATGTCCTGGCAGCTTGGAGTCATTCAACAAAAATCAGTCTTGGTTGTTTGATGTATTATTCCAAGGCCCACAGTTCATTATTTTATCAGGAATGCGGGCATAGATAAGGATGGCTGCATGATAGAGAGTCTTTCATCTTCCTGAATGAGGAGCATAACATTAAGCTGCTGCCTGTTATATCTAACCTGTACAATTACCATGGCAGGAATACTTGGCTGGGTAGATGCTAGGCCGATTAGAGCTGAACCAAAAAATCCAACCCTCTTCAGAGCATTATTATTACGTTTTTTTTTATTGTTTTCTGGAAGATTTTCTTTAAAAATTAAAAAACACCCTTTTTACCTGATTATTTTTTCAGTGTCGTATGTTTCTGTCTCTCAATTGATATGACCTATATCAGAACATATTCTCAGTAACACTGACTTCCAGTCAGCTATGATTAACTAGTTATTGTAGTGAATTTAACTCTTTCATTACGTAATCCTTGATCAATTAGGATCTCCCATATCTCATCCAGAGAAGAGAAAAGAGTAGTAATTGGAGGGAACCAGGAGAGACACAGTAGCAACAAAGATAATTTTAATGTGATAGATCGGTTTTTCTCAACCTTGGCCACTTTAAGATGGATGGACTTCAATTTCCAGGAATGCTGGGAGTTGAAGTCCACCCATCTTGAAATGACAAGGTTGAGAAACAATATGATAGATTTTCATATACAGGAGACTACACATTTTCAAACTTTTAGGCCCAATTTGAAATTTTGCATTGTGTCCTTGATGCCACAAAAATTGTCATGGCAGTGGGTGTAACCAGCCACAAAGTATTGGGAATGCTCCCCTTTTGTTTGTAAGAAGGGTTATAAATTTTGTATTGAATGGATAGTTACTCTTCATAGTGTCCTTTTCTGCCTCCTAGCATTCTCTCTCTCTCTCTCTCTCTCTCTCTCTCTCACACACACACACACACACACACACACACACAGAGAGAGAGAGAGAGAGAGAGAGAGAGAGAGAGAGAGAGATTCCCAGACTGCCAGCTTCATCTGAATCTTTCTTATCATTACTAGCTTCAAAGTTTTCCTGGACACAGGACACCATGAAATTCTGACCTATAGCTATCTAGCATATTTTTTTAAAAAAAATTTTTTACTAGTCACATATATTAGAAAAATGAAGTTGGTGCTGGTGTCCAAAAACTGGAATTTTACTTTAGAGTACTGTACTTCCAACAACTGGGTAAAAAGGTTAAGTGGGAGTGTCTATACTGAACCCCTATACATCATCTACCTGATCCCCACTTCGCCCCCTTGCTTAATGCATCAATATATGGGAGAAAACATTACATGAAATGCTAGAACTAGCAACATTCACGGGCAACAAATTTAAATCAATAAATAAACAGTAACTTGTTTAGAGTTTAAAAGCCTGTTGAAATAAAAGGGTTGTAGAAGACCCTTTGTGGTCTTCTACAATTTTAACTCCTAACTCTCCTGAAAGCTTCTGCTTTTTCTACCTGCCTTCCTACTCTTCACATAACAATGGGACAGAGATCCATCTTCTGGAATACTGTCATTTTCACATCCATTTCAGTTTTTCCTTGTTTGACTTTTTTTTTTTGTTCTGTTTAGTTACTCAGAGTGAGCAGTAAACCAATTCTATAGATATTTATCCTGCCAAGGCAAGATAATCACCTCTTTGTCTGGCCCCTGGAAGAAAAGCTGCAGCTGCACAGCTGAGTAGGCATCCTCACAATAATGGAAAAACAGCAGTTTTTTTGGCATCAACATTACTAATTTGTACAGTTTGTATCCTGTTTATTTATGCTAGCAGATTTACAAGGGTGTGAATGAATGAGGTCTGTTCATGTCATTAGTGATAATAATAGTGGAAGGGGGTTTGGAAAAAATTAAAATAAATTGACTTGTGCTGGCAAAATCAGCCATGACCCTTATAGAATATCTGTCATGGCTAGCTGGTCTGACTTGTATCCTGAAAACCTATGCTCTGCTGGGTTTACTGATTTCTTTTTGATAAAGTAAGTTCTTTGAAACATAACAGCACTGCTTGTTTTGGACCAACACATTTAAAACCTAACCATTTAGAGATCAAAATATACAATTCCATCTCCAGAAGTTTTGTTCATAAAATGACTTTACGGTAGTACAGAATTTGTATGCATTGGACTTTAAATACATTGACCTAAGCAAATGTTACAGTATATCTATATGTGGTTTCTCCCAAGTATGATCAGTAGCCATTACAAAGCTGTTCTGTTCCATTACAGTGTGAAAATTGTTATTGACTAAATATCTTTCCATCATCTTGTTTGCCAAGATTCCAAAGTAATGTTTGTTAGATCTACTTGAGGGCTTCCTGAAAACCATATATTCCTTCTCCTGCTGTTCTTCCATAGCAATTAATCTATATACTTCTCTATCTGAACATGGAGATTTTAGATAATCATTATGAAGAACTATCAAACTTCTGTTGCTCACTGAATTTCTTTAACCACCCTTTAAAGTAGCTATCTCGGTAACTTGTGCAGTACATTTTATCCATTAACATTGTGTGAAGAATTGGTCTGTTTCACGTGGAAGAAAAGCATAACTACACAGGTTTTGATTGGGGTTCCCAACTTCAGTTGGCAAGCAACCCAGATAACATTAAACCCATGTTTAAAATCAGCTGACCTAATGGAATGCTGCATAGTGCACTGAGGGGGAACTACCTGTCAGTTGCTGAGGGAGCTATTTTTAAACATAGGTTTAAAAAGATTTAATACTCTTCTGAAATAGCATTCAACCTATGGTTTAAAAATAGCCTTAGGACAGGGGTGTCAAACTGCCGGCCCGTGGGCCAGTTTCATCATACTGGAGCCGCGCCCACCCCATTGCCAGCAATGGCAAAAAAGCTCCGATACGTCGTGCGACGTCATGTGATGTCGCGAGTTTGACATGCCTGCCTTAGGACATCTCATGAGTGGTGTGATCCAGTAGGAGTTTCCACTGGTAGGCACATGGAGGAAGGTTTTTTTAGTGAATGACAGAAAGGCTTCTAAATTATGTCTCAATGAATGCCTCTCCCTCCCACCGAATCATACAACCCTTCAATGCCTGTCTACTGGCATGGTGAGGTTTTGCAATGAAATCTTCCTACTACTACTACTGCAAACTCCCCACTCCCATGTACCTGTCATAATGATGACTTATTGAACTGTCCAGCTGCTGTGAGCCATTGCACTAATCTCTCTTACATGTTGCTTCTTCTGCAGGAGTTTTTTGAGAATCCTGCCTTTCGCCCAGATGGCATGAAGCTATACCCAACACTTGTGATCCGTGGCACTGGCCTCTATGAACTCTGGAAAACTGGGAGGTACAAAAGCTATCCTCCAAGCACCCTTGTGGATTTGGTGGCAAGAATTCTTGCCCTCGTGCCTCCCTGGACTCGAGTGTACAGAGTACAAAGGTAACATTTGCCTTGCTCATGCTAAGTCTTCATAAAATATGGTAGTGCATCAGTGGGGCTGAGATAACAAAACAGCTTGATTTCCTCATGCAGCATCTATTTCTGACTTTATTATCCTCTCAGAATAAATGTTTCTAGAAATCTAAATCCTTTAACCATCCCTCACTTCCCTGAAAGTAACTGGCAATGTTGTACTTACCCTGCTCTGTCATTCAAATTCTCATCACAAATATCAAGCCATTACATGTGATTCAGGATGAATCGACACACTAGGCTAATGTTATGATAATTGTGGCCTGTGCTTGATAGCTCATTTGTGCATAACTACTAAAGCTCATCTCTGATGAGTCACTATAGATAGTGGCCACTTGCATCTTGGATAGATACTTGCAAATGAGCTTTGAAAATAGAAACCAAGCTGGGGAAGGGGTAAACAATGATGATCTGTAGCTATTCAGCAAATGTGGATTGGCCCCTAGGCAATAAGGAATGAAGGACAGAAGAGCACATTGGGCAATAGAGAACAGTATTAGTATTAAACTACTATGTGTTGAAAGAGTGAATAAATGAGGGCATTTTCCTGGAGTAGCCAAGAAAAGGAAATGTTCTAGTGGAAGGATATTGCTAAATTGCAATTCACTGCAGCCCATCCAATGTGATGAGTGTTATAAGATGAGAGGAATAGCAGCCTCAGAATATTTGGAGGATCACACATTGTCAATTCTTACTCTACTATACATTTGAATGATTGCTGTGCATATGACAGCCAGTCATATGCTAAACTATTTGCATAACTTGTTTTAGCCAAAAGAAGGAATACATTGCCTTTTTTTAGTCAAGATATTGGCAAATGCTGATAAACATTTCAGAATATTAATCCCATGTTTATCATCACCGATTTTCACCCAGTGAGGGAAGGGTATCCCATTTGTAATTGTCAGCACAGAATGTTTCTGATAACAGCTGGTCTGTTTAAGGATGGGAATTAATAAGAAGCAATGTAATTATCAAGTAATTTGTCTTTGCCTGTCACTTGATCAAAACCATTTTTAGGGGACTACCAGGAATGTAATTTTTTAAAGATACAGTCTTTAAAGCTTGGCTACCATTAAAATAATCAGTGGGACTTTAGACAATCAGAAGAACACCTCATGGTGGTATTGTGCAACATCTTTCCTCAACCTGATGTGTTTTGGTTGTATTAGATTATACCACATTAGTAGTGATAGCTTGAAATGCATGTATAGGGAAGCCTCAGTGATAAAGATTCTCATAGGTTTTTTTCCTTTTTTTTTTTACATAACAGCTGCCCTTTACCAGCTAAATTTTCCAGCTTATATAGTAATAGAAGGAGGGCTCTACTCTTAAATGTTCATTTGTAATATTGCCGTACTCAATAAGCCTTACCTATCATATGGCTTCTGACTTGATGTCTTGCCTTGTTGAAAAAATTATTAGAGGAATCTTTGGGCAGGTAAACGTCAGCAAACATCCCAAGCTGTCTTTGCTGCTGGAAAATCCAGCGAGGACATCTTAAACCTTTGACAGCAATGGAGAGAGAGAATTGAGATTTGACTTTACACTCTTAAAATTTGCCATATTTGCATATGTGTGTATGTTGATCTTGAGTCATATCCTCTCCTAATGCAGAAACAAAAAGACGTTTCCTAGCAGATGGCCACCCAGTGCCTTTGGGCGTGCCAGTATACTGTGTCACTGTTCCAGAGATGATAGACTTGTCAGAGGATACTGCTATGTAGGCTACGTGCTAGGGTGCAAGAATGGTTTTATTGACATCCCTGTGGTGAATCGTGCAACAGCCTGGCTTTCCTCAGTATTTTGGTAATTGGAAAGAAGCGCAGCTCTCTGATGGCTGCCTCTGTTCTAACGTGCCTAGATGGAAATTGCATTCTCCTCCAGTGTATTCTTTAGCTAGCGCAGGGAGGTGCTTATTAACTCTTAACTGTTACTGCCTGAAGACTGTTAATGTCTGTTGACTAGATGAGGTTGTATTTACTCCCAGGACCCAGCTGAATAAATTAATGAGTGAGCTAATTATTACTGTCTTCTGGAGAGAGGAAAGGATAGGTGGTTGATGTAGAAGAGAGCAGGGGGTGAGGAAATTAAGCCCCAGTGTGTCAGCGGGTGAAGAATGTCATGATAATCTGCCTTATCCTATCACCATCAAGCCTCTTTTCTTTTCTTACATTACCAACTTTTGTAGTCCCCTGGTCTTTTTTCATTTTCCTTGCAACAAGATAGCAGTTTTCACCCAGACATATTGGAACTTTAAGAGAAGTTTCAGAAACGCTGTCTTTTTGGCTTCGCTTTCTCTTATACTTTACTCTCTTAGACATATGCCATGTCTTCCACTCAAAAAAACTTCTAACATCCCTCTCTCTCAGTCAATCTCTGGCATGACCCCATAGTTCTTATCTCCAGCCAAAAAAAGCCAAATAGACATAGCATATGCCCAATATAATGTTTATATCTCTAGTCCATACTAATTTTCCTGGAAGGATGTTTTAGATCAAGTAAGGAGTTTTCTATCTCCCACTCTTATATTTATTTATATATTATATTTCTTCACCATCAGTCCCACCCATGTAATTATATTGCAAAAGTGTAATTCCCTTCACTTTTTTCCCAATAAAATGGCAATGAATTGGGACATATGACCCACAGTTAGGTGTCACTGGGTGGCCTCCTCTTAATGATTTTACCATATTCATGTTTTCCTTTTCAGTTTTCTCTCTCTGCTAGACCAGTCATCTTCTATTTGATCAAAGTTTATGTTTAGATTTCAGTTCAACTTCTTATATTATTTATTATGTCTTGCCTTTTCTCCAAAATCTCAAAGCAGAATACCAGGATGGGAAAAGTATTCCATCACTTGATCCTTGTGAAGCATGTTGGGTTGAGAACAAATGACCTCTTTTATAGGACTGAGGATTTGAACCTGGTTCTTGGTTCAAGTATAATTCCCAAATTATTATATAGCACTATTATCTGTGTCTCTAGGGCCTGTCCAGTTGTTATGGAATTTTTTTGTCTCAAAATATGAAATAATCTTCAACTTTATTTATATAAGGGTTAAGCAAATTCTTGAATCTCAAGCAGTGGTGGGATTCTGCCAGTTCACATCAGTTCAATAGAACTGGTAGCTAATTTTTTGTTGATTTTGGTGAACCGGCTGATGCCTTAGCCCTTTTTCGCAAGGCCCAGAATGGGCAGCGCTATTCCTAATGTTCATAGTTCAATTATTTGCTTAGCCCTCACACAAATAAAGTTGAAGATTATTTCATATTCTGAGGCAAAAAATTCCATAACAACTGGACAAGTGCCAGAGTAAGTCAAAACACAATGTACGTGGACAGGAAGTAGATGACAGCAGAAGAAGCAACAGTATCATTTTAGATATTAATGCTTCTCCAAAAGAACAAATGTGTCATATTTGGAATTTATTTATTTATTTATTTATTTAATTTGATTTATATCCCGCCCTTCTCCACACCGGACTCACCGGAATTATTATTTTAGCAACCTTTTTCGCTATGATCGCTAAACAAACCATCGCAAATCCAAGCAAATCCAGCTCCTGTCATTGACTTTGCTTGTCATATGTCCCTTGGGAAGGTCACAAACAGCAGTCATGTGATCCTGGGATTCTGCAACCATTCTAAATACCTGCTGGTTGCCTGTCACCTGAATTCTGATCATGTGACTACAGGGGCACTATGACAATTGTTAGTGTGAGGACTGGTCATGAGTCACTTTGTTCAATGCTGTTGTAACTTTGAATAGTTATTGCATGAATGGTCATAAGTCAAAGCAATGCCAAAGACAGCAAACTCTTAATCAGGTATCAGGAACAGCACCAGAACAACACAGGGATGAAGTCCTGCTGGGTCTGAGTCAACCAAGTAGCAGAAAACAAAGAACTGTTGTATTTTATATTTAAAGCATTGATGGTTATTTCTTTGAAGTTATGTTTTTGTTTGATGGAGGGTCTATTTCTTGCAGGGATATCCCAATGCCTTTAGTCACTTCTGGAGTGGAACATGGTAACTTGAGAGAATTGGCTTTGGCTAGGATGAAGGACTTAGGAACAGAGGTACAACACATAATTTTATTCAGTATTTCTTACATCTACCAGACTTGTGTCTATTCTTATCAGTACCAAGTATAATTGTTTTGGTTTGCAAGATCTGCCCCAAATCACTTGGTAGAGAAATGGGTAGCACACAAATTTATTAAGTAAGTATTTTCCTTGCATGTACGCCTGAGTGCAGCCATAAGATCATCGAAGAAGGAATAGCTACAAATAGTGAAATCTTGTTTTTCTGGAAGGATACATAATAGGCAGCCGGAAGTCCTTCAAAACAATCGCCTCATCACAGATTAGTTGCATTAAGATTATTATTCTCATCATTGTGATGATGGATAAATACACTCCATCCTGCTGACTTTTTTCAAATGTACAGAACTAACATGGAGGAGACGTATGCTTTTGATTTTGGGTTTTTCTATCTAAATTAATAATCCTTATTCAGATAAGTGGGGGGGGGAGGTGAAGGGGATGGTATCAGGATTCCTCATGAACATCCATAAAGAATAGTTTGTTCTAGATATGAAAAGGCCTGTCTAGAGTCAGCCAAACACAGGACCTGGCCTGAATGTGGCAATTTCACTCTATGGTAACCATATAATTCAATGGTCCACAACCTTTCTGGCTTTGTGGACCGGGGGGGGGGGCAGAGGAAATGATTTTGTGGGGGCAGCAGATGCGCATGCTTGTATGCACAGATCCATTTGCACAAGTGGCAGGCACTCTCGCACACGCCTGAAGCTCCATTTGTGCGAACGACAGGTCCCTCGTACAAATGGAACTTCACATGCATGCATGAGTGCCCATTGCTCACGCAAACAGAGCTGTGTGCACAAGTGTGTGTGTCTGCAGCTTGCATGTCCCTGTTCTAAATGGGCCACAATCCAGTACCAGGCCAGGACCCGGAGGTTGGGGACTCCTGATATAGTTGACTTATAAAAGGCTATTCTGGGTTAGCAAAGTATATTTTTTAAAAAAATCTCCTATTTACAATAGATGGGTCTTCTTTACACCTTGAGCTATACAAAGATAATTTATATGCTCTTAGGATTAAAAGAATTTGAAATGCCACCAATTATTGTTCATGGAAAAAGGCTTTTAAAACTTTTTTTTTTCTGTTGAGCAAAACACATTGTTGCTTCTCTTCCCTTGGTATACTTAATGTATTTATATAGGATAGAAATAAATAACTGTTTGGACTAAAAGTACATTTGGAACATTGAGAGCATATGGTGGGTGCATCCTCCAAGGATGACTATAATAGGAGACTGCTACAGTAGACGTGGCCAGTCACATAGAGACAAGTTGTCTAACATACAAGTGAGACTTTGTGAAGCCCAAAGGCATTGCTTCAAATCAATTATGTTTATTGAAGCTGGTGCTTTGCAGCATGCCAGGATCCTATTTATTTTTTTAAAAGAATGTTGGGTACCATAGGGAGCCTAGAGGACAAGAAGTTGGGAAGTGTCTTGGTGCCCAGGAGCACTTTCATCCTTTCCCTACTGCAAAGGAAAATGTCACATTTTCTGCGTACTCAACTGAGAGGCTTGCATTCTGAGTGATTGGTAGTAGCAGAAAAATGTTGACAATTATTAGTCTAAATTAGGATTAAGATGAATATCTTGGGTAGATCAAGAATTGCATGGCACCTAAAGATATTCAGGTTTCACAGCAATCTTACTAGTACAGAAGAAAAATGATAAACAGTATTGCTGTTACTTCCACTGAAAATTCCTTGAAGAAGATAGTCATTGCTGAAGAGGTTCATTTGAGAGTGGCTGAACTTAGGAATTTTAAATTCAATGGTGAAAAAAGTAAGGTTCTACATTTAGGCAAGAAAAACCAAATGTACAGGTATAGTATAGGGGGTACCTTGCTCAATAGTAGTAACTGTGAAAGGGATCTCGGAGTCCTAGTGGACAATCACTTAAATATGAGCCAGCAGTGTGCTGTAGCTGCCAAAAAGGCCAACACAGTGCTAGGCTGCATTAACAGAGGGATAGAATCAAGATCACGTGAAGTGTTAATACCACTTTAAAATGCCTTGGTAAGGCCACACTTGGAATACTGCATCCAGTTTTGATCACCACGATGTAAAAAAGATATTGAGACTCTAGAAAGAGTACAGAGAAGAGCAACAAAGATGATTAAGGAACTAGAGGCTAAAACATAGAAGGAATGGTTGCTAGAATTGGGTATGTCTAGTTTAACGAAGAGAAGGATGAGGGGGGACATGATAGCAGTGTTCCAATATCTCAGGGGCTGCCACAAAGAAGAGGGAGTCAAGCTATTCTCCAAGGCGCCTGAAGGCAGGACAAGAAGCAATGGATGGAAACTGATCAAGGAGAGAAGCAACTTAGAACTAAGGAGAAACTTCCTGACAGTTAGAACAATTAACCACTGGAACAACCTGCCATCAGAAGCGGTGAATGCTCCAACACTGGAAGTTTTTAAGAAGAGACTGGACAGCCATTTGTCTGAAATGGTGTAGGGTTCCTGCTTGAGCAGGNTTATTATTATTATTATTATTATTATTATTATTATTATTATTATTATTATTATTATTATTATTATTATTATTATTATTATTATTATTATTATTATTTGGCTTTAAGGTTAAAACAAATGCTTGATTTGTGCTTTAAAATGGATAATAGCTGTTTAAGAAGCAATCTGCTGTGCTCAGATTTTTTTTGGTTCTTTCAAGCATAGCATCAGACTTCTAGACTGTTTTCAAGGCAGTCAAGATATGAGGTAGTACACTAGCTTTATCTCGGTCTTTGGTAATCACCATTTTACAATATCTAAAAGTCACATTCTTTTTCTCTCCCTCTTTCCTCATAAAGAATGATCACAACTGTTATACCACACTGAACTTGTCATACTTTGGATACTTTGTGCTATTGATGTCACTTGTACATCCACAATCAGGGGTCAACACTACTTGAAACTCTGAGTTAATAACTAGATGATTTATAGATCAGAACACATGTTGCCTTCTAAATATTTTCGATTACAGTTTTCTTAAACTGTCATCCAAGTCATTCTGCTATCCTTGATAGGAGATAAACATATGTTGCTTGTCCTGTTTTAATGTAATCTCACCCAGAATAAACAACATATTTTTCATCATATTTGAAAGATTCTTGCCCCTAAGCCTTTCTTAGAGAAGCATGGCAAGTTTCAATCCCTAATCCTTCATGGAAAGTACACTCTACATTTGTGGCAATTTTTTCAGGAGTTTCTCTATCTGCACAGCTTTAAATTAGCGTGTTCACCATCTCTGCTTCAGTATTCATTTATCCAGTGCAAAACACAGTTAACATTGGTGTCTTATTTCGTGATCTCATGAAGTGTTAATGCCACTTTATAACACCTTGGTAAGGCCACACTTGGAATACTGCATCTAGTTTTGCTCACCACGATGTAAAAAAAATGTTGATACTCTAGGAAGAGTACAGAGAAGAGCAACAAAGATGATAGGGGACTGGAGGCTAAAACATATAAGGAATGGTTGCTGGAGTTGGGTATGCCTAGTTTAATGAAGAGAAGGACTAGGGGTGACATGATAGCAGAGTTCCAATATCTCAGGGGCTGCCACAGAGAAGAGGGAGTCAAGCTATTCTCCAAAGCACCTGAAGGCAGGACAAGAAGCAATGGATGGAAACTAATCAAGGAGAGAAGCAACCTAGAACTAAGGAGAAATTCCTTGACAATTAGAACAATTAATCAGTGGAACAACCTGCCTCCAGAAGTTGTGAATGCTCCAACACTGGAAGTTTTTAAAAAGAGACAGGGCAGCCATTTGTCTGAAATGGTATAGGGTTTCCTGCCTGAGTAGAAGGTTGGATTAGAAGATTGCTCAAGGAAACTAGTGTCTGCTAATATATGCAATGGATGGGCTTTTATTTTATATACCAGGCTTTTCCTTCCTTTTTGCCTAGAGATGTATTAGGAATGGATAAGTAAGTATTTTTATTTTGAAATCTTCCATTCAAATTATTATCTTGTCTATTTTAATTTAATTTTAAACCCTGGAAGAAGCGATGGTGACGATGAGGGCACTATTCCTTAGCCTAAATATGTTTCCTGTTGCAATTCTAGTCTGTCTCTTCTTATTTGAAGCTTCGTCACTTACTCTTCCTATCTAGTGCCGTGATGTGAGAACAAGAGAAGTTGGAATACAAGAAATACATCACAAAGTCAGACCCTACCAGGTGAGTTTTGTTTTTTCTGCGTGTGAGTGTTTAAAAAGAGAACTTGACACCCTTTAATAGAGGTTGAGACAGCAGAAATGTTTGTCTTTGTTCCCAAAGTAACAAAAGGAATCTGCCTCTTATCAAACCAAATCAGTAGTCTAAATAACAGTGAATATGTCTTGAATAAAACATCTCAGCTAGTGATTCTCAATTGGTGATACCATCAATAGAAAGTAAAATTGAACCAAATTAGGTGGGTTGCAGAATATGCTTAAATGTCCATTTAAAGAGAAAAGGCACAACTGCATTTCCTGATTCACTCTGCTGACCGTGGTTCATCCAGCTTTCTGTCTAAGACATCCACTTCTACTCTTGTGAATCCTCATCAGTTTTACAATTCCTGGAAGAAGAAAAATCATGCTTACCTTGCAACTGCCAGAACTTGAAATGATGCTGTTGTGGGTTGCAATGGCCATAGTATCTATTGCTAGACTAGGGAGTTGAACAATTGCCACTTGGTACTTAGCAGCAACAGAAGCCACCAGAAGTGAAAGGCAATGTATCATTCCTCTCTGCAAGCCAACTGAGTTGTCCCACATGTATCCCATAACTCTCCTCCTTTCTTTTATAATTTCTGTTAGGAACTGATACTGGCATTGGCCCATGTATACCCACTGACAGGGATCCAAATGGTCTCCTTTCCCACAGGGCGGCTTTGACTATGGCAAAGATTTATTGGGCATTGATTCTTTCATTTTAACAGCTGCCTTCTAGGTAGAAATTTCTCTCTCAGCAGCCAATAGTAGGAGAAGTAGTGCTGGCTGAATTTCTGTCTCATCCATCATAGTTATCCTAAAGCCATTTTTTTTAGTATCTGAGAATTCAACAAGAAATAGTTAACCTGAGAGCCCTTTATCCAATTCTTTTTTTCCATACCTTTTTATTTCTGGAGAGATCTAAGTTCTTTGGCAGATGCAGTTATAGGTATAAAAGGTTGAGAACCATTGATGTTGCTTGCTTTATTAACAAAAATTATTCAGTTTTTTAGGGGGGGAAAATCATTTCAGCAAATAAAATTACCATAAGTCAAATAAACATGTTACCAAACATCTCAGCCAATTTAGGCTCAGGAAATTATTTTCCAGTTCAAAAAGCATGTTTATCTATATTGGGTCTGTGATAGAAAACATTCTATTAACATTTTGTTAACATTCCAGAAAGCTGTGAAAACACTGCTTTTACAGAGAGCCCTCCAGGGCAAACAATGCTATTTAATTGGAGGGAAGTGTTTGGGGGAGGGGGGGGGGTTCTAATTTATTGTGGCTCCATGATATTGCTTTGTGGTATGTTTTTATGAGATGAAAGCTGCCTAAAACCTTTCAATGAGACAGCACACAAATACATATTGAAATTATAAAATATATTACAGTATAATCAGCTGTGGATGATCATTACAATACCTTTTGTTTCTAGTTACTTATTCCAGGAATATAATAATCCACCATGGAACTTTAGTTCCTGGAGGTAGTTTAGAAGGGTGGACAAGATCAAACAAAGCGAAGATGAATCCAGATTAGAGGCTATGGCTATGGAAGGTGATCTTTCTGAATGGAGGTGTTCATTCTGTTCTGACTGAGGAGGCTCAGGTGGCAGCAGAACCCTGGAATGAATCTTAATAACTCGACCAGTAAACTGGTTGCAGGGGAAGAGAGCCAATTTGCACTAGTGGCAGGTGAAAATTTCAAGATGCTTGTGATGAAGCTGCCTTTGAAGAAAACTTGCAGAACTGCAAAATGTGCCCCTTTAAATATTAGTGATACAACCATCAGACTTTATGACAGATAGACAGCACCAGCTGAACTAATTGCCAGTGTATTGGAAGCTACTTTAAACTGCAAGTGTTTATTTCATATTTAGACCTTGGAAGAAGGTTAAAGTCAAGGGTAAACAACTCAAACTGCATGTTGCCCCCAGAACTGTCTGTCTTGCTGCTGCGATTTGGTTACAAATTCTCCCCCCAAAAATGCAGTTCGTACAAAAAGTCAGTGGGAGAACCTCATTGGGGTACAAATTATCTGTATTAAATCGGTTCGTTGATTACAAATAGGTATCTGGAACATTTGCAAAGAGCTGGTGGTTATCATTAAATTCCTACATAGCACAACACCAGGATTCATCACACAACTCCTTTTTGGAATATAAATCTGCCTCTCCAGTCTAGTAATCTATAGAAAGCCCCTGAGAGCTCCTCTTCCAGGTGAGAAATACGGGGTATAGATGAATCTTCTCTGTTGTATCCCTGCTTTCTCAAGCTTCCCCGGGAAGTATGTATGGTCCCAATCTACTTGCATTTTGAAAGCAAATTAAAACAGTTCTATTCTATTTTGCTCTTAGCGCACGTTGATTGGGGGGATTCTATCATAGGATATTATAGCAAATGGATTACGTTAATTAAAAGCAGCAGGGTTATTTTCCATTAGATGTTGATAGGAAATAAAATTAAAATCTTTAAGCCCTAGATTATGCTTAAAACATTAAACTTCAGAAAGCCATAGCATATGAGAGCCATGGTGGCAGAATGGTTAGACTACAGTATTGCAGGCTAATTCAGCTCAGTGCCAGGAGTTCGATCCTGGCTGGCTCAAGGTTAACTCAGCCTTCCATCCTTTTAAGGTCAGTAAAATGAGGACCCAGATAGTTGGGGGCAATGCGCTGACTTTGTAAACTGCATAGAGACGGCTGTAAAGCACTATGGAGTGGTATATAAGTCTTAAGTGCTATTGCTATCCCAACACTCTAGAAAATCCTCAGTTTATATGAAATAACCCAAGTACATCACACACATCATCTTCTGTATCAAGATTTATGCAGCATGGCCAGCTATATAATCTGATTATCAGAAGCAACAAGATGATTTTATAATAGACTCTATCACCATAAGCAGAAGCAAGATTGAGTCTAGAATTCAAAGTCCAGTATCAATAGATGTTCAGGAATTTGAGCAACAAAGCAGGAACAAGGTGAAGAAATTTGGGCAGTCTCGGCAAGCATAGCTACATAGGAGAGCAAGCT